ATAAAACATAGTTGCCATGTTGTCCGTCATGATTCTGGTAGTTGTATCCCGTATGTGGGACTGAAAATGCTTGCAAGCATGTCGTACCACCCGCAACTCTAGTATGTTGATGTGTAACATCATTTCTTGAGTTGACCAGCGACCCTGAATCGTCAGGTTGTCCATGTGCGCCCCCCAGCCTGTGAGGGACGCATCTGTAGTTATCTGTCTTGTGGGCTGCGGACGATGAAATGGGATGCCCGTGAGGAGATTGACCGGTTTGGTCCACCATTGAATAGACTCTTGAACATGCTGGGGTACCACCAGCGGTTTGTGGATTTTGTCTTTTGCCGGACTGTAAACCATGGTCAACCAATGTTGGAGGCAACGAAAATGTAACCTTGCATTTTGTACGACTATGGTGGAAGCCGCCCCATCAGTTGTAAACATACGCGTGCAGGAATTGTGGGAGCATGCGTGACAGTATGTACAAGATCTTGAATTGCCACAAAACGCTCCAACTGTAGGTACGCCCGTGCCACGGTTGAGTCGAGCCATGCACCTATAAAAACCAGGTCTTGGCACGGAATTAGTAATGACTTTTTTACATTTATGAGGAGGCCCAGGGATGCAAATTCGCTGGACACTGTCTGCACCATATGACATGCCTCCACATATGTTGAACCCCTGATTAGACAGTTGTCTAAGTAAGGGAATATTGTCACTCCCGTCCTGCGTAAATGAGCCGCCACTACGGCTATAGTTTTGGTGAAGACCCGGGGGGCACACGCCAATCCGAACGGTAGAACCCGGTACTGAAAATGTTCGTTCCCTAATTGGAACCGCAGAAAACGTCTGTGGGCCACGTGAATCGCCACGTGGAAATAAGCATCCTGCAGGTCGAGGACTGCAAGCCAATCTCCCTTGTTCAATGCCGGAATAATAGTTGATAATGTCACCATCTTGAATCGGCATTTCCGAAGGTGGCGGTTTAACCTTCGAAGATCTAATATGGGTCTCCAGCCTCCCGATTTCTTTGGGATGAGAAAATATCGGGAATAAAAGCCTTTTCCCCAAAATTGCTTGGGTACTCTTTCTATTGCCCCGATTGCGAGTAAGCGAAGAACTTCTTGCTTCAGCAGTTGCTCGTGAGAGGGGTCCCTGAAAAGGGACGGGGTGGGTGGGGTGGAGGGGGGAATGGAGAGAAAAGGAATTGAGAGGCCGTACTTTATTACTTCTAGTACCCATCTGTCTGTGGTGATGTTGGACCACTGGTGGTGATATGATCTTAGTCGATGGTGAAAGAGGTGAGAATTTTCGATCTGTGCATTGACCAAGGGAAACGTGCTCACAACCTCGACGGGGAAGTCAAATCTGCTGTTTGGTTGACGATTGATTGACTGCACGATTTTGTTGGGGTCGTTTCCGTTGAGGACGCTGCCGAGGACGCTGATTATCTGATATGCGTGTCTGTTGTCTAGGGAAGTTAAAATCGTATCTTCTCTGATAAGGGTAATAGCGCCTACGCTTGAAATTGGGTGTGTACATCCCCAACGGGAATCCTTGCCTGAATGGAGAACTTCGTCAGTATTTGCTGCGAAAAGCTTAAGCTTATCAAAGGGGAGATCTTCCACTTTATTTTGCATCTCCTTTGGTGCTCCCGCAGACGCAAGCCATGATGATCTCCTCATTGCGATACCCGTAGCCGTGGCCCGTGCTGCTGTGTCGGCCACGTCCATCGCAATCTGCAATGCAGTGCTACAAGCTGCGTATCCTTCCTGTACTATCGCTTTTAATAGAGGTTTCTTCGCGTCAGGAAGATGATGTAATAATTCCGTTAGTTTTGAATAATTATCAAAGTTGTGATTTGATAAATGAGCTGAGTAGTTCGCAATACGCAACAGAAGTGTGGCTGAAGAATAGACCTTTCTACCAAAGATATCCAACTTCTTATTGTCTTTATCCGAGAGCGCGTTTTTGTACTGTGGCGCTTTGGTCCTTCTCTGTGCTGCGTCAACCACTAACGAATTGGGCTGAGGGTGATTGAATAGGAAATCTAACCCCTTTGCTGGCACAAAGTATTTCTTGTCAGCCTTTTTATTGGTAGGAGTAACTGAAGTTGGCGTTTGCCATATCTCGTCCGCCACTTCCATGATCGCTTCGTCAATTGGTAAGGCGATCCTTACACGCTGCTGTGGACGAAGGTTCTTTAAGAGACGGTGTGTTTTCACGGGAACATCTGCCAGCTGTATTTCCTGCGTCCCTGCTACTCGTTTAAACAGGTCTTGAAACTGTTTTAGATCGTCTGGTGGAGCCAATTCACCTGGGCAGATTGCCTCATCTGGTGATGAAGATGCGCAGTCCGCTGGAGAGGTTTCTGGCTTGGGATCCTCTGTGTCAGACAGCTGTCCTTCTTCCATCTCGGACTGATCTTGTTGGACAGATTGACTTGTCGACGGAGGAGGCGAGAATAACTGTTGTGGTTGTTGAGGTAAGTATTGTGTGACTGGCGAGTGACAGTTACAGGATGATGCCCTAAGAGAAGATGGTCTATGATCACGGTGGGTACCGCCGTCGCACGAGCGATAGTAATGTCCGTAGTAGTGCTCAGAACGTGACGGAGAAGAATGGCGCGACGACCGTGCACTGCTATGTTGAATATAATAGACGCGGCGTGGAGAGCGTCTGGAGGACTCATATCTGGATAACCGACCCGGCGAACGAGATCATGAACAAGATCGCCTTGCTTCTAGATATACCATGTCTCTATAATCTCGCCGCCTGTATGCACCATGGATCGGGGAGACACTATAGTCCCGATACCGTGTACGCCTTGGTGGCGATGGAGATGGTCCTGGCGAGAAGACCGGGGAGGCAGATCTGTCCCTCCCCTGAGTCTTTGATAGAGCCTTCCTAGGTATTGAGGCACTGTCAGTTTCCCTGGCAACCGGGGAGTTCTGCGCAGAGTGAAGACAGAGCGGTGCCGGGGAGATCAGCTGTGGCTGCTCTGCTGTTGGGAACAACACTGTTCGAAACTGCTAAACCAATGAGCATCCATGCTGTGAGGCGTAGAGTCTCGGGTTTCGGATGACGTAGAGATCCGTTGTTCTGGGTCAAGAGATTTGGAAGGAGAGGCAGGGGGTATGGTGCCCTTGCCGCTCGGTGCCGACGTGGTTAGAGTTGTCGGTGGCGCCATGTCAGGACCATGCACGGCTGGGTCTGGTGCCGACGATGACGGTGCCGTCACGAGCGGTGCCGCTGGAGCCCGCACCGCTGACGCTGATGTCTCTGAGCCAGGCACCGGTGCTGAAGCAGCCCGAATCCTCGGCTTTTGCGATCCCCTATCAGCGGGGTCAGCAGAGCAGCGGGACCCCGCGGGGACCAATTTGGAAGCTGCCAAAGTCCCTGAGACTGCCGGAGGGAGGGAACGAGTCGGAGACGGCTTTGCTCTCTTTGAAGACAGAATATTTAAAGTCTCCATTCCAATTCTGGGCAGAAACAAATGTCAAAACATTGAAATGTCTCCTGAGAGAGACATTCCTCTTTCCACTCAGCTCTGTGTGTATGTACAGCATCAAGCTCCAATTTCACTGGAGGCCTTTAATTGCAACCATAATATTATTACCTGGGGTTCTTTCAACTGAAACCTCTTGGTAACTTTACTCTGTGTGAGTTGGTGTCAGGAAATAAATCAAGGAAGACACAGATGTCTGATCTATGGATGGCTGGCACAAGCAGGACAGCACACAGGTGTTTTCACTTAAAGCTAAACTTGACCTAGTCTCAAGAACTTGTGCATATACACAACAGGTTAGCAATGAGTAGTTCTGAAAAAAACTGTTTTTTTTTTTACAACAGAACTATAAACTGGAACACGACTAACCCTGGACTAACTATCTACACTGAGAAAACTAACTAATAACACTAATAAAACCAGAGATCTAACAGTACAGGGAGCTCCGACCGCGACCTGAGGCGGTTGAAAGGAACTGGTGGTTGCCAGCCTGCGCGCAGCAGATCAAAGGCGCGAACGGCGCTTTGAAGGAGCGCGCATGCGCGGGCTGGCAGGACACGGCTATGAAAATTCTCCGAGCCGCGGCGCCGGGACGGGACCCGACACCTAGAGTGGAGCACCCTCGGGGCCACTCGAAGAAGAACCATAGTTTGCAGGCCCCTGGTCTAACTGATAGCCGCAGGGCTATCCCTACCCATGTGCAAACTGTGTAGGTATGTAGGGAACAATGAAATTTGAGGCACCAAATTGTCCACATTTCATGGTGCCTTAGCAGCTGCATATCACCTCCATTAGCCAGCCCCATCTCTTGGTCAGTCCTCCTGCAGGCTGCACCCAGCTGCACTCACCAGACAGTGGTGAGAGATGTGAGCCTGTGAACCAGAAGATTCAGGAGGAGCAGCAGGCAGCCCTGCCACCAGTTGGAGAAAAGCAGCAGTTTCCCCTTCTGCGTCCTGTGGGCTGTAAGCTCACGCTGCTCACTGCCACCAGTGCCCAATGTACTAATTTTTACTGCCCGTGTGCAGAATAAATGTTGTTATGTGCACCTAGGCATGTGCAGATGTGCACCACAAATGCAAACACATGCTGCTGGCAGCTGTGGGTGCTCTGCCTATCAGCTGGGAGGCACCTGAATCTCTCTTGGACATCTGTCCCAGCACTCAGCTTATAGCGAACAGTATCTGCGCCTCCCACCCGCTCCCACGAGGCTGCAGGTGAGCCAGGATCACCCCACAGCTCCTGCCGCTGGGGAAGGTGCAGGAGCTGGATTGCACAGGTACTCCTGGGGGAACGGTGCAGAATTTGCATTATTCCCTGTTTCCCCTGCAGAATTTCTGGCCACCACTAGGTGCTGCTGGGCTGTGCAGAGCCCAGCTCGCGGGGCTGGAAGCTGCTGCTCTTCGATGCTCCTTCTCCCCGGGACAGGAGAGGGCCTGCGAGCGGGGGCTCTGGCAAAGGGTGAGGCAGCGCTGGGCTGCACCATGGCCCGGGGGGTGGAGCGGGTGATGGGGGGAAGGACTTTGGGGGAGGAAATCTCGGGGGGTCTGCCCCGTGGCTGGGTTC